AGTGGTTCTCCTTGAATTGTAAGGGATATGTTCGCAGATGGCATGTTCTGAAGGAGGACTTTGCACTTTGAAGGTGCAAGGCGCATGCCAAATGATGGTATGATGGCGGTCAGTTTATTCAACAGGGTTTCTACTTCGCTATGGTCTTCAAAGATGAGGGCGATGTTATCTGCGTGCTCCAGGTTGACAAGGCTGTCACCAGCAACAATTTGGGTACCGGGGTTTTGAGAACCATCCAGTCTTCGCTTCATTATTTCATCGATGACGAAGTTGAACAAGAATGGGGAGATTGGACATCCTTGTCTGACACCACTTTTTGTAGGGAAGCTTTTGGAGAGCTCACCATACACCCTCACCCGTCCAGAAGTATGTGAATATAGGGATCGGATTATGTTTATAAACTTCTGGGGCATAAACTGTTGAGCAAGTGTAGTTAACAAAACTGATCGATCAACAGAATCGAACGCACCCTTGAAGTCAAGGAGTACCAGGATCGTGGGTCGTCTGTATATGTGGCGTTGCTCTAACACCTGATGGAGTGTGTACAAAACTGAGATTTAAGCTTATCCGAACCATTGAAACTGTGCAGCATTAAGGCTCTCTTTTTTCAAATAAAAACAACTACCACTACGTAATATCCAAACAGCGTAAGACCGTTGAAAAAAAGGTCAGACAATCACATGACCAGTGCGAAAGTACAGACAGATTTGGTCGCTAAGCCACCAGGCCAAGAATGTCGGTCCATATTCACGGAAATCCATAGAGAATCAACGTCAGACGGGGAAAAGTGGAAAAGTTCGCACTTTCAATAGATATACTCTAGATTCTGGGTTTAAGAAACACGTGTATTTGAGAACGATTAGTTCTACACCTGATAGAAACCCACACAAAAAACTAGAGACGTTTACTGAGAAAGCAGACGTCTGTTAGTTGGCCCGTGAACAACTCAAGCAGTATAGCAATTTCCCGGTGGGTATTCCAAACTTACGACCTCAGAACTATTCAAAGAAAGGCCAAATCCGGACCATGGATAAAGCACAATATACAAATGCATAGTAATTCCTGAGGGCGGGCTCCAAAATCAAATGGGTTTGTATGGTTTCACCCAATACGTACTAAATATTAACATCAAAATGAATGGACGACGTTCCATGTGCGCGCCTGTAGATTCTTGGATTGAAGTCGGACTTCTGGCATTGTCCGGGTGGCCGAAGCCTTCAATCCTAGATGTTTAGGACCACAGAATTTACGTTTGATGTACTATAGTAAATTGCTAGTCATTCGTGGAAACAAGCGGAGCGTGATTTGTTCCGTTCACTGGATTTGCTTTTCGCAGACAAACGCCAGAAGCTGCATGTCTGAATCGGTCCTCTGAGAATTCGTCATATGACATCCACCATACATACTCAGATAAACAAAGTTATTTGTCTAGCCATACTGTCTACTAGTAGGCAGGGGATTACACCTGCGCGCAAGTCAGCCGCAGACCTCTACCTCGCCCGGGAGAGTCGCGTCTGACATTGTACGTGTAACCGGCTGACTAGCCAACTGATCGCCGGATTGATGACAAAGGACCATGTCCACTTAGCCAACCACCGCCGTTGACCTCGCCACCCTTCGACTACCTGTACTTGTCTATTGTCCGGATGTTAGGTCATCTCACAAAACAACTCCGGCTAGACAAAGCCGTGTGGAAAGCGCATACTAAGAAGGGTATAGCAAAAAATTGTTTACGCTTGTACCGTACATGTCTCAGCTTGCGAGGCCCTGTTGTAAAGACTACATGAGGCTTGTCAACAATTGAGGCCCAGTCAGTGCGTTGAAACGGACACATCTAGGATATCGCGTGGCATGAAAGACTGGATTTCGGAAGTGAGGCCAGGTAGAGTGCCAGAAAAAGTGACAAAGCGTTCGGAACGCGCCAGCTGTTGCAGTCACACGTTCACGTGATCACGTGAGCGTGGGCATGAGTGTCCATATTCTGGGTCAGCACGATACCACGTGGCAGTCAGAACCTGGGATGAACCAAACCGACAGACAGCATGTTGAGCAAGCTGCCAGTGGTCCACAGGAAGAGCAAGGTTATAAACAGTAATAATAATAGTATTAATAGTAGTAGTGTGGGATCTGGATCGAACAAATCGGCTGACAATAGGTTGGTCACCAATACTAACATGATCGCACAAGTGTGTCAGCGATCAGGTGGAGGAGAGCTTGGTAATAAGGAGAGACAGTCACAGAGTGAACTATACTCGGTTTGTGTATATGTGCGTAACGGCAATGTACAATCTAGCAGATCACAAAAAGTGTCTCAAGGATGAATGAAGGTTGGGTCTGTTTCAGAGGGTAGGGCTGAAAGCCACAACATTGGTTGTTGCCTGGACAATGGATTAGTCGGTTGGGTGCATCAAATTGAACAGCGGCGGCGGGAGGGTCGTGTGAGGAGTTAGACCAATACGTTGTGAAAACATAGCAATTTGAGGGGGAGGGGTCAGAACCAGACAGAAAAAAGGAACTGTAAAGGCGTCCACAAAATCCACGCCTTTGATAGATAAGGGATTACGTACAAACTCCGAAAGAAGTTGGAAGATGAGGTTGTTGTTTCTGAAAGGTGACAACAAAATTTAAGGCCATTGAAAGCAAACAGTGATAGTTATGTTTGTGTTTGATATTGAAGGACGACAGTATCGACAAGATTTTGCCACAATAGAGTTCGTGACAATAATACGAAGATTAACAGGGGCTGAAGAATATCATTGTATGTAGGTAGGCTTAGTGGTGTGTGTTTGTGTGTGTGTGTGTGTAGTGACAGATACTGAAGCATGGTGGTTCCATTAGTCCCAACAGTATTATATCAAAAAAAGGGTAAACGTACAACTCTGTGATCAGAAAGGCGGAGGTAATTTGGCGCAGAAACGGAAAATCAGCTAGGAAAAGGAAAACATGGACGCATAAACAGTGAAGTGAAAAATAGTGAATGACACAGAGAAACTCTTTTCCTTTTTCTCTCTATATATATTATCATATATATTATGTATATATATTGTTTCTAGTCTCTGAATCTTGAGAGAATGGAACTGTGAAAAGGATGACAGGAACAGAGAAATCAGGATGGCAAAAGGCGCGATCCTGCTTCGACAAACATAGGTCAATGGGGGGTGGGGCATATTGGACTGGAGTGAAGAGGCATATTCACCCTTGTTGAGAATGCCACCAGTCAGTGGACCAGTTTGTTGAAAATACTGAATAGGCCGGAGTTAACGTTAGTTCCCCAGGATATTCGGTGGTGAATGGAACCCAAAAGCGATAGCGCTATGCAAACAAATCTCGATAACCCCGGGTTCGGATCTGAGGCGAGAGGTGCGTTAGACAAGTGCCAGTTCGAGGCCAAGGCTACAATCAGGGATGTGTGATATCTTCCTGAATTAAGGCTGTGGGGATCTGATTTAAAGACCACCCTATCACAAGAAAACGATCTCACACCGTTAGGCCCAAAAGAACGTCCGGAAAACGTGACAGATTGGAGGTTGTTTTAGTAACCGCTTGCTTCAAAGGAGAAGGATAATCTGAACGGAAATGCGAAAGAAGCTAAGAACAAAGAAAGCAAACCAGTAATCGAAGTGAACTCAAAAAAAAGGGGCAATAAAATAAGCAATCGATCGATCAATCGACCATTTTCTAACCCATCGAACAAAATCAGAGAGTCAGTTCGGAGAAGAAATATCATCAATAGTAGGGTGGAAAACAATTTCGTGTTTTTGCACACACACGCACACACAAACCGATACAGTCAAGTGAAAAAAACAATTGCATTCGATGAAACAGATAGACGCTGTTAGGGATCTGGGTTATAAGTTCGCTGGGAAAGCACATCACAATTATGGGGGTGTCTCTTGCAGGGCAAACGTGACCTGAGAACATCACAGAACATCACCCAACGGAGAAGATTCGGACTGGGGAAGACACTCATGAAGGTGCGGTGCTGGTCGCACGTACACTGAAGAAGTCACTAGTCGTTGGAGGGTCAAAAAGCTGTTGTATGTGCCAGTTTGTTTGAATGAGGTAGAATCATGTAATCGCTACACAAAAATACATACACTCAAACCCACAACGAGACAAATCGGTTCCTGAATGTACCCGACGAAGATGAACGCGTAGATAGGCAAGAACGATTGTTATTGCCGCTGTTGTTGCTGCTAGGGTTGTTTTACAAGGGCGATGAAGAACAAAAAAGGAAAGGAAAGGAAGGATGGATGGACAGAGAGTGGTGTATGATGGAACATAATCTTGCGGGGAAAAATAGACAAACCCCAGTAATCTGCGCAGTCACGCAACTTATAGACGAGCACACATACAAAGCAGCAACACAGCCGTTTGAGCCGTTAACAAGTAACGACATGGAAAAGGGATTCTGGGATAGGGAGTAGGTCGGTGACTTGTGATGGTAATGTATGAACGAGGAATATATATGAAGACGGAGATGGATGTAATGAGCCGCAAGCAGAAAGCTGAGCATTCAGCTGAATGTCGGGGATCTGATGAACTGTTTTCATGTCCGTCAGACTGCCCGGGTACGAAGTTGACGGTATGGTGTGCGGCACAAGACATGAGACTGGATCGGAAAGACGTTGGAAATTGGAGATAGAAGTGGAATGGGTGCGATCACTCGTTGTGTCCGAATATTCCAGGTTGGCATGTGGGTTGCATCAGTCGATGGTAACGCTCGTAGGATAGATTGGGCTAGAAAAAGAGGAGATGGTTTCAAGAATAACTGGAAGTTTCAATTGTATTTAATGCTATTGGTTCCATGGAGACCGAAATAAGAATCAGTTGAAAAGGAAGAGAATGAACTATACGTAACATGAAGCTTCAGCAGACTAGACAGGAGGACGTTGTTTTGGAACTGTTTCTTTTCGGTTGATCGGGGAGGGGGTGTTGTAATCAAAATAACTACGAATTAAAGTGAGCTGCAAAGTCAAGCACCCTGAACTACCAACAGGCACAGACATTTATTGAGAAGAAACTACCAGCACTTGTTTGTCAGTCGGAGTGTTGACCTACTTATCGAGTTATCCTCAAAATGTAGGTAGGCTATTGTAGGTTATACAACGCGGAAATCATATGTCCATAAAAACCTCATGGCCAAGAACCACTTCAGTGCAAGTGTATCTCCGACATCTTGCCACTGATCGCCGTTCACGAGCCATGGAATTTCGAGAGCTCACTCACTTTTTCCACATTATCGTCCCAAAAAAACGAGTAAGTTGAATATATAATTCCATATAGGATTTTATCAAGCGCCAACACTCCATGTGCCTTACCAACTTCAGTTCAGGAGAGCGTCCCACCAACCGGCAGTGGACCAAATCTCGAACTCATCGCATAAACGACTGAGAGTTTAGATCCACCAGATCAAATCACTCTTTCGGATGGACGGTGGAAAAACTCGTGTGATTGATCCGGTGCACAATCACAGTATGACCTCAGTATTCGACATTTATGGATGGTGCATACAAGCACCGTGTACCCGAATCTTGACAGATCACGATCATATGCATTCTAACTTGTTGAGTACGTGATTCGGTATAATTTATTCGAAAGGGACAGTTCAGTTACTATCGTCAAGGTTCTCCACTGAACGCGAACAAACGATATACCAGGGGATAGAATAAAACAAAAGGTCGTTTTTTCTGACAATCACTGTGGGAGTCCTTGAGGAACAGCGAAATCTTATATAAATAGTGACAACTGTGACGCGTTTATTACATGATCCATACAAGCATAAGAGTGAAATTAAGGGACCTGAGTGCGCGGATACTGACTGAGTCCCCTTTTACTGTGGGTATGAGGTCAAACCACTATTGTACACGGTTTACCGAAACCAATAAAATTCGAGATATCTTCAAAACGTTCGTCATACCTGATGTTCAAATCGAACATTGTTCCCTGATGTGCCATTTTCGTCTTCCATTCGGTTTCCGGAAGACGCGGCGGACAAATCTGTGAAACTCTGTCTTGGAGGAGGAAGCCGACACGCATCCATCCGAACTCGGGACGGAGCCGAACCGGCGATCCGGTCTTCTTCGGTCTGTTCCCGCTTCATGTTAACCAGCCGTGCTGGGTTGGACGGACAACGCATCCCGCTTCCACCAGAGTCGAGCTCACTTTCAGTGTCTCCCTGCAGCATATCTGGGAAAAAATTATGCGGATCGCTCAGAGATGTCGACGTCACACGCGGTGGATTCGGGTTCCGAGTGGTCGGAGTTAGACTGCTGGTACTACCGTTGTTCGGGGTGCGTTGATTATTGTCGCTAATCACCAGCCAGGACTGATAGAGCGCTTCGACAGAGGGTGAACTGCGAAGACCAACAGCAGCCGTCGGACTGGCTGTTGAGACTGCGGTATGGGATCCACATGCCTGTTCCTGGATAATTCGCTCTAAAGTCTGTAAAGGCAAGAACGGAATAACGTTGCTAATTGGATGCCGGAAACAGCCAAGAATATCACTCGACATCTTGATGCCTTATCAGTCCCAACTAAAAACACGGTGCTTCATACTACCAACCGCGTTCTTCGGGGATCCACCAGCCACATATGTGCACCGTTGGTTACTCCATTTTCTCATTAATAGTGGGACACCGAGCTGGTCAAGTAGACCGATTACTCTCGTTCAAATCCTATTGATTTTTTCCTCATTACGCTTCATGCGAATTCATACCGTTTTATTTACGAACTGGGCTAACACATAATGAGGAAACTGACCTTGTTCCCGTAAAATTTAGACAGTTGCGAAGGTTTGTTGATCACAGTACGTGGATATTGAATACACTAGATTGCTCAATACAATAGTGTGTAGTAAGCAAGAAAGAATGGATTACTGTGTCTCATGTTCAAACACATACGCAGATGCACCGAGGTGTCCTCAGCATCAAGTAGAAAACGCAAAAACATTTCACTAATCTGAAGTGAGCCGACGGGGGGGGAGTAGCATTCTTCACCTAGTGAACATGAAAGCAGGAGACTGTGCTTTATGGGCGCAGCAACAGCACAGTGAAAGCCTCAAGGATGTTTATACCATCCGTCTGTTTGCGCGAGGTGTGAGTATTCTGATGCAGGCACCTAGGTCGATTGGCCGGGCCAGCAGTAAAACATCCATCTGCCACAGGTGTGACCGGCAAATGTCTATCTAAAAGATGTCTAAAATCTCTACGAACCGACAATAAAAGGCTGATTGAGAACGAACGAGGGCAACGTTGACTGTGATAGGAATGGGGTTGACCAAAAGAACAAGATTGCGAACTACCAATCGACGTCTTCCACTTGGCTGCTGGTCCATCCAACTGAAACTGTGCTATTGAACTGTGCGAACCATCTGGATAAAATCTTACTGAATGTTTTCAAGAAATATACTCATTTGAAAATCAACTTGGTTTTCACGAGAGACTCAACTGAATCTCTCGTGGGCTGTCGAAGAGTTTTCAGCAACCTTGTGAGTAGTTTCCTCGCTAAATGTTCTTCCACCCTGTCGGAGCTGTGATGATTGAAGCACATACCAAAACGTGTACAGTGTCCAACGCACCTGGAATTCTGCGTTTTTCGTGCAACGGATCAGCAAGTGGATCCTGTAATCTGTTGCTGTTCACTGGATGAATCATAGAAACGTGTACGTGGGATTAGAACCACCGCCCAGAGTACGGATTTCTGTTGCAGTACACCTTCGCGACATCTCCCACTACTACTGAAATCTCCCCGACAGTCCATTACCGGTTTCGCCCTTCTTGAGGCTCGTCACATAGTCCCAGAGTTTTCCTCAACCTTATGTTCTACTTGAAAACCCCATTGTACGCAACTGGCGACTTACATTTATTTGAAAATTACATTGGTGTTGACGGCAGACTCGGCTGATTTGTAATCGAATCTGTCATTGCTGATGTTCGGCATAAATTGAGTTTGCTGAAAATAAAAGTATTTTAGCGGATATAGACTCATTTGCAAGCTAATTTGGTTTTTCGAGAGACTGCCTGGAACCCCAGCTGAATCTCTCGTTAGTGATGTGTCCAGGCAACTGAATGTGCTGCACCAGGCCGCCTCATGGTTCAGTCTCTACGATATTCGAGATTTCGCGATGCATATACATTTTGTAATGCACTACTCATAAAGTTGCTGAAAACTCTTCGACAGCCCAATCCCGGTTTCGCCCTTCTTGGAGCTCATCAGGTAGGCGCAGTCCCCGCGTTTCCATCAACCTTATGTTCTACTTGAAACCGAATTGCACGAAATTAGCAAAAGTATTTTGCCCATGGCGTGCAATCTGATGTACAAGCACAACATAAAATTGGTGGAAACTCGGGAACTGTGCCTCGGTGACGAAAGCCATAACCGGCAGTAGGCTGCGGAAGAGCTCTGAACAGTCTGGTGTTAGTTTTTTTCTCGTCTTGATAAAGTCAAACATCATTGAGAATGAGTGGTGTTGAGAGAAATGAAAACTTGACATCAAAAGTACTTCGTGAAAGAGTTCAGTCCGACTTTTGTTGCGTCAAACAGCTTTTATCTCACCAGATCTTTGGATTAAAATTAGAGTATTCGCGTGGGCGCTGAAATGGGAACCGGAAGACTTTTCTCCGTGTGTAGCAGAACTTAAAAGTCCACAACAGATTAGCTACATTGGCGAATGCAGATGGTTGGTAAAACAGCCAGCTTTGTATGAGGTCATGCGTGTTACTCAACGCCAACTGTGGGCTCAAGTGAGCACTAAAGAGCTTGATCGACGCGAAGGCATAAGGAGGCCTTTTCAGGTGATATTGATGTTACGCCGTAAGAATGCGCTACAGGCTACCTTGCCTTACCCGAATTCACACCTCACTTATCAAGGACTTTATATTGATTTGTATCAAGATGTAGTTTTTTCATTTGGAGGACTCAGCGTTGGGCCCAACCCTGGCTCATCTTTTCATAGCAAAGATGGAGAGAGCGGAATCGCGGCACAAAGACCAATACCAGCTCCACTGATTAAAATATCTTTAACTTGGCTCATCAGTGTCTTTCATTCCACATTCAGTACTTCAAAACCCGAACTTCGCTCGTGAATGCGTGAAACACAACTCTGTCCTGGTGGACAGGTAGCCATAAAAATCCGTACATCTGGAACAACTGATCGTGAACTGCAAAGCCTCAAGGACAATTTGAAGACGTGGCAAGACGAAAACCGTGAAGGAGGAAAACGCATAACGCTGTATAGTTGCTGAAAGACAGGACTGTGCGCCTACCACTGATCAGACCTCAGTCAAACCTCTTAGCTCATCTACAGAGAAAAAACTGAGAGGTTCGAAATGCGGGTACATCATAAGCCATTGTGAATGAATCCAATAACCAGAATCCCCCCTGTTCCCGTGAAACACCTCATCCATGATCAGGTTGACATTTTCTAAACCTTCAAAAGCGTCACAGTAATAGAACCCGCCTATCGATCTGTGTCAAAGCTTTACTGTTCAAACGATTTGACGAAAAGTTCAAGCCACGCATTACGTCTACCATGGTTCGCGTGGCCCATTTGTAGATGGTTTGCCACTCCGTTAGAATTTAAATTTTAAATTTCCGATATTGATCTACATTCATTCGTCATGCGTCCAAGCGTACTGGGGTTGACAAGAGCGTTTGTGAAAGTGCTATCCCACACAAACTGTCTTCTAATTCCGTCACATCTCAGGTCTATATAAAGGGTTTCAAATCAGAATGAATCAAACGAGAAGTATGGATCTTCCACATTGAAGGATATGAACTGCTATCTAGGGTTCATACAGAACTATTCCAGACGAAATCTATTAGGTATGCCACATGGTTGAACGAGGATATCGTTCACGGTTTTTTCGTTCTGGATAGGTTACCTCAGTTTTCTCAAAATAAGCTTCGCCATAGGTCCCCTGGGCGTGTGAAAACCGTCGTGTTAGGTTAGGTGGAACGTCATAGACTGTGATAGTTGTTGGCTATTGTCACCTAATGTGTGAATGAGTAGTGAAAATATGATGTGACACGAAGGCAGACGGTTGAACAAACGTTTGTTCACGAACACACACACAGACAATATCACTTGTTAGGGAGCACTTGTAAATCGTCAGGAAACAGAACCGCGATGCAATCCGGAATCGCCTGCTCACTATGGGCGTTGCCCTGACGAACTCATTCCCAGGGGCTGAGGGAATCCTGAAGCGCTACAAGGCACTTGGCCCGGATGTTCTACACCCCCACTCTTCAAAGAAGCATGGCGAGATCCTGGTGAACAGTCTGACAACCACGCTGCAGAGGATTTGCAACGAAAACAGAATACCAGCCGAATGAGGCCCCTCGACCACCAGTCTGACAACCACGCTGCAGAGGATTTGGAACGAAAACAGCCGAATGGGGCCCCTCGACCATCACCCCAGTTTTCAAAAAGGGAGTAGGAACGTCATGCAGAAACCATCGTGGTGTCAGTCTGGTATCTGTCGCATCTAAGGTGCTCCCTGGCATTATTTTGCGCAGGTTGTTGGATTACCGGGAGGGATAGATTCGTGAGAATCGAGCTGCTTTTCGCCCTGGTCGAAGATGCATCGACCATATCTTTAACTTGCGACAAATTCTTGAACAGCGCCACTCCTTCAGACGTCCCACGTTGGTCGTTTTTCTTGATTTGAAAGCCGCTTTTGATTCTGTCGACCTTCATCAAGTTTGGCAGTATCTAGCAATCAAAGGCCCGACCTAAAGCTGCCACTTTGACGTGGTTGTCAGGCCTGGGTGCTGTAGTCATCCCGCGCTTTGCGAATGTGAAATCACAGTGGCTTGGAGTGAACCTTCCACTCAGGGCTGAACTCAGGGCAGCAAACTCAGCGGCGCTGGTCACTGCCGTCTTCCTGGATGGGAACCCCGAGACGGGCCATATCAATGGTTAGGGACATTGTCAGACATGGTCCAGTTGCGCCCTCAATGGCGCTCATGTATCCAAGCTATTGCCTTCAATTCATACCCCCCCAATCCCAATTCCTACAGAGCTATATTTATGTGCTAATTTATCAGCTCCCACCTCCAATGCGCAGCTACCTACCCCACGTCCCCGAATCCGCACTGAGTGAAACTGTGGCAGCTACAACCACTGTACGACGAGTATGCGGTTATTACAGCTGACAATGAGGACGATGATGGTGATGGTGATCAAAGGTGTCCCTTCCAAATTTCTCTCCCTCATCAGGACACCGCATGCGAACTCCTGTGGGCGCGTCCAAGTATACGGGAAGCTCCCGCATGAGTTCACCCCGTCCAGTAGTATAGGACTGCCTGCCTCTGAAACCTCGGAAGTCGAAAATTTCCCGAGACGTTTTCTCACAGACATTGAGTATGTGAACGATATTGCCCTCCTTTTGGTTCAGATCCTTCCCAAATGCAAGCGATTTTAAATAACTTAAATAACCACCGCACGGTTTGGCATGCGCTTCACATCTGAAAAGTGTAAAGTGCTGCTACAAGACTGGGTGGGATCAAACCCACACCTCATGCTTGCAGGTGAGCCCATCGACGTGCTAGATAAATTTGTTTACCTGGGCAACTGTATAAGTTCCGGTGGACTGGCTAGAGTTGAGATTATTTCTCGAATCGGAAAGGCCAGGACGGCCTTTGTCAACCTCCGACACCTATGACGCCGACGTCACGTGACCTTGTCTGTCAAGGGAAGAGTTTACACCGCGGTGGTACGATCCATACTGCTTTATGGATCAAAGACGTGGGCCCTACGCGCAGAGGACGTACGGAAGATGTCAGTGTTTGAACATCAGTGTCTCCGAAGCATTGGTCAGGTCTGGTGGGAACATCGGATTAGTAATGCTCAGGTATGCCAGATGGTCCTAAGAAGAAGGAACTCTCCCCGCGATAGATGAATTACCCACGCTTCATAGGGTGCGCTGGTTGGGTTATGTGCTCCGTATGCCAGAAGATCGTCTGCCTCACAGAGCTCTTTTCTTCCAGCCCTGTGCTGAGTGGAAGCGACCGAGAATGGGACAGTGCATGACCTGGCAACGAAGTACAAAAACACTAACCAGTAAAGTAAGTCGGGTGGGCATCTGCCGTCTTCCTGGATGGGGACCCTGGGACTCAAATCACTAGTAGTTAGTGACATTGACAGAAACGGGCCCACCGCGCAGTCAGTGGCGCTCGTGCATCAAAGCTATTGCTTTCAATGCGTAGCTATCCAATTTCCGAACGAACTGAGCATGCCTCTGTCCCTCTTTCCGGTGATCGGAACTGTAGCAACTGGAGCCAATGTACACGGTTTATAGCTGATAAATTGAACCGCATTCAGAATTTAATAAATTGATTTGTGGGTGTTACCCTGACAAACCCATTCCTAGGGTCTGAGGCAATGGAATATCTCCAGTTCCTGCAAACCGATGGTTCTTATTCGTGGCTCACCGCTTCGGTCAGCCGTTGCACCCCTTCTTAATTGAGCCTCTTTAGGTCGTTACGAGCTGTTGCTATTATTTTGCGTCACCGAGGTTTATCCCTCTTTGATTTCCAATTCTCTTGACCACCATTCCGGAACAGCAGTCTGATGGGACCACTATCGCTCACGATAAGACAGCAACAATAAGCCAAAAAAGAACCTTCGATCGCAGGTGGACGTAAACGAAGAAATTTGAAATTTAGAATGTTAACCTGCGTGTTCAAGGTTGATGCTGAAAAAATATGCTTGTCGTGGCCGAACTGGTGCCCAGTGACAATGAAGGTCACGTGAAAAGTGAGGAGGTAGAGGTGACAATAATTACTGGGAACAGTAGTTACGGAACAGCGGTGATCGAAGAGGACGTCACCGTGGCGTTTATATGATTGATGTTCCGTCACATCTCAATTTGAACGTTTAAAGTTTCTCCGTACGTCTATTAACACATTCAATGTGTGCGACGTAGTTAGGTGGAAAAAGATCTACGTAAACAATAAGCAAGTTAGTTAGTTCTACTTTACTCTGTTGCCTTGGAGACAGATTGAATGTGAGTACAGACAAGGGAGCAACGGCTAGACAGTCAGTAGGCCTATTTTTCTCACGCATAGGAACCGCTGCATACCGAAGGCGATGGATTTTGTGTAGGAGTGCGGTTGTGGTACGCAGTTCTTTTTCGCAGCCTACTGTTGCGCTCCGTTTTGGCGTAACCAGAACGACAGTAACCAGGTTTTTCATTGCAAAATCACAAAATGGCCAAGACAGATTCATTTCCGATCTCCACAGGACTGTGCAAAAAGAAGCCGGCACACTAGGATGCTGTGTATAACCTAAACAAGTTAACCTATAAAATTTGTTAATTTTTCTTCCGAAAGTCTAGATTTTCTCTGAACGTGACACCGTTTGTCTTTTGCGACGATCACAGACTTTGAATAAATGGCCGTCCACGTTGACCTACCGAACTAATGGGTTACTAAATGAAGTAAGTCACTCCCTATAGTTTACGAATCCCGTTAGTCCGGGGATGAGATGGGGTAGGGTCATCCGAAACCCGTGCATTTAATCAGATGCACATGTGTAGAGTTACAACTGACCCACCGCCTTGATATTGTTGTTCAGACAGCTCAGTGGTTAAGGCGCGAACTTACTAGGGTCCGTGATTTGAGCCCCACCTCTGCATCTCTACTGCTCCCGTCTAGGCTCGGCCAACCACGCAGTATCCGAGCCCTCGTGCTTCCTTCGAGCGGTATGGCAGCTAGGCACTAAAAGAGTGTCACAGCTGACGAGTCAAACGCATCAGTTCTGATTTTCAAGATAGACAGTAAAACGCCTGTCATGGCATTCACGACTGTGATTCATGTTCAAAGATCCCCCGCCCAACACATACAAAGTTTGCAAAAGATAAGCAATTGTGACATCTCTACTCACCTCTATCCGTTTCCGTAGCAGCGGGATCACTTGGCGAGCCAGTGTGTTCTCCTGCTTTAGTGCACTCATGTGAGACACTGCCTCACGCAAGTCCTTGATATAGTTAACAGACAGTCGAAGTACGCTCCCCTTGTTGCGTCGGCCATCACTAGAGTCCAGCATCACCAAACAGTCGTATGAAATAGAAGGGTACGGGAAAAGAAATTTCAAACAAGATTCTACGAAATCAGACGACGCCGGACGCCAATGTTGGAAAACTAAGGATAAATCAACAGTACACTCCACCTGGGAGGCAAATTTTTGTGGGTTCGAAACAATAATGCATGCAGATCGGTGAAATTCTATTCACTCTCATTCCGTCTAGATTAGCGAACATGAGGAAAGACTTGAGGAGAATTTTGGTTGTAAAGTTGGTCGGTCATGTGGACAACAAGGCCATCAATCCGTGTCCGGTACAAAGTAGCAGATTACGGAAAAAATTTTCATCTCAAGTAAGTTTTTATTCAACATATTCGTACCACAAGATGTCAAAATCCTGCCAAGTAGGTGAAACAGGAAAAACACTGGTTTTTCGCTTTCGTCTGCGCTGATAATACTATGAAATCGTACTCATGTCCACCGTGTGGGAATCCGAACAATTTTTGAACTTTCCAATAAGTTTAGCTAACGAATCGAGTTTTAATAACGAAGCACCGACAAAAGCGTTAATGAACCGATAACGTTACGTCAGAGAACATACGTAATTACCGTTCGCTCGAATGGAAGCGAAGGAGAGTATGTCTTACGTGAGATGAGTTGTTCTGGAAGTCAGGTGAGAAACAAGCGAAGATGGAGAACTGAATTTCTAGAGTTTCTGAGGCTCAGGCGATCGCGGGGTGGGAAGGGTGAGCAACGTCGCGATTATTTATGCACCCAGGAAGTGAAATGCTTGGTACAAGCTCGAACGAGAACGAAGACGGTAGCGCTCCAGGTCCCGGAAAAGCATTGATGTGGATATACCAAGGGTAGTACCTGTAACTTCGATTGGTACCATTCAAGTTAGTTTACGGTTTACGACCGCTGAGCACCATTTCGGTTTATTGTTTCTACCCGTAATGGAATGCCTGCAGAAGGAATCTCAACGTCCAACCGTTTTGTTTTTGGAAACGATTACCGAATAATCTGGGCACTTGCCAACATCGTCAACCAGAGATTACCAGGTTGAGCTGTCCTCAGTATTCACTGTCACCGTAACTTACATGTCCTGAAGTTCACGGAACCAGATACATTCGATTAACCTGTCCCTAACTTCGATGTAAGACAGTTACACATTGGCAGATGCCAGAAGTTTTTTTGTGATTTCGATTACCTCCCTGATGAACAAGTTTGCCTACAGTGATCGGAACTGTTCCCTTAGCGTTGTCACGTGACCACTACTCAACCACATTATATCCCAAACATAACTTATCCGATTTCGGTTGTACTCAGAATATTCCCAAACATGACGTGACTCGAACGGATGTGGCAAGAACACTAGTTCGTATATTGAATGATCGATTTAATATGAGGATACTACAAAACCCTGTATTTTTGTTCATGGTCATTTGGTACCACCTCCTAGTTTTAACTACTGGAAACCATTCTTTCCAAATTTTCCCAATCGACAAAGTACAAGGCACACCTCAGGCAATTGACAAAACTGAACTGCACGGCATCCCGTGTACGTCTGGACATTGTGTTGCTCCAACGCACACTGAGGTATATGGTGTGCGACAGCAGAATCAAATGGGGAACTCTTCGGTTTCACGCGCTGAGAAAAAGCGGATTTGCTTGAACCGCTACATCTGCCTGAATACTCATGCCATGCGTTGAGCGGAAAAACCCAACGCCATTTTTCAAGCAGTTGTTGGACTCATTCTTGCGATCTATTCTGTTTTCACGTACACCTTCCCAGTTATCTTGTTGAGTGATAGCTACCACCGAATGCCGTGTGAATATGCATTTGTGGATGCTACTCCACAAGACGTCGTCTGGTGTTTTGGCAAGCTGAACCCTTGCACTTAACACGCACAGCCAATGAGCCGCGTAGTCTGAGTGAACTACTGACATCCCATGTGGAGTTTGCTGTGCTTGCTGTTTGTGCACGGGAGCCTAACAGTATCCTGAGTTCAAAAATGTCCCGCAGACGGAAGAGTTCTGATAAACGGTGCAACCGTTTGAACCTACACTTCACTGAACCCACATATAGCAACCACAGGCAAGGGAAGATAATCCGGCCCCTTTCTATTGTAGACCATGAGACCAGTGTGTGCACCACTCTGGAAAAATATATGAAAAGCCCGTGAATGAATAGCAAATCCTCCAGCCCAAACCCAGTTTACTGAGGTCAGTTGTATGCCTTGTGCTCTGTCCACCGTGAACTCAACTTTACGAGATCGGATTTAGAGTATTATGATATAAACAGGGGTGTGAGCGAACTGTTGGTTCGCGGTCAGTTCGATTGAGACAGTGACCGGACAGAACGCGCACCTGGATGAGTGAGATAGTGCTACATCCTGGTGAACAACATCAAGACAAGTTGGCAATCGGAATACCGTTATGAACTCATCAGCTGAAACTAGGCGGGGTTGGCTACTTGGTGAGAAGAATCCATTTTTTTAGCCCAGATTTTCCGGAGCCCGCATGGAGCGCACTAACCAGCATTGCTTCGAACAGCTCTCAGACTTATGCACGATGGTTATAGCTAAAAGGTCTTGCCAAGACTTCACACGGCTTACACTGGAGAACCAAGGTTAATTTCCTGGCACAAGATAACATCATCACCTTTATCATCGACAGCATGACATCAGTGTTCAACACCGATGCTTCACTACCGTGCTAACCTTCAGTACGTGCCACGAAACCAATTTTTAAGCTTATATTTGGGTTGGAATATCTCTTGGTCGAGATTCAAGAAGATGAATACGGTCTTCAAGTTCATCCACAGTTATATCCTTTTGATTGGAGACAATACACGAGCGGTGGTATTTGTTGTCCTTGCATCCTGTGAGAACGCCGGAAATCATCCGTACTTCTGTCAGTGAGAATCGCCTATAAAGAGAATCTGGTCCCAGAAAAAGAGGAATCGCCTTGGTACGATCAACGCCGCAAATTCTAGTGATGACCCATTGTAGGCCCTTTTGACCCCGGCATTGCGTTTAACTACTACTTGCTTAAACGACTAACCAGAAGGAGTTCTCAGAGGAGAGCTAAGTGGGATCAAGAAGCGAACAAACGGATCGCCAAGCGAATTGACAAAGACTAACAAAAGAGACAATGATTCCATGAACTAGCGTGCACACAAATGAAGAAAGCAAGTAGTAGCGAACATACACTCATTTGCAAACTAATTTGGTTTTTCGAGAGACTCACCTGGAACCCCGCTGAATCTCTCGTTTGTGATGTTCTCAGGGTTCCAGGTGAGTCTCTCGAAAAACCAAATTAGTTTGCAAATGAGTGTATGTTCGCTACTACTTGCTTTCTTCATTTGTGTGCACGCTAGTTCATGGAATCATTGTCTCTTTTGTTAGTCTTTGTCAATTCGCTTGGCGATCCGTTTGTTCGCTTCTTGATCCCACTTAGCTCTCCTCTGAGAACTCCTTCTGGTTAGTCGTTTCTACAATTTTGCATTTAGAGTAGTGTGGTGTGCCAGCACGACAATGTGTTTGACGCCGTCTTAATCGCAGTGCCGGTTGGAATGGACTGGACTTCTGAATGATACTATCTGATGAAGAGTGCGCGTTTATTCTGAGCTGGTTACTACAAGACTTCTCGGATTCTACACAATAACGACACTGACTTATTTCTATTCTTGTCTGAAAGATGAATAAACCGTGAGAGTTCATAGGCGGTGGTCTGTCTGCCAATCGGTTGGTGGTCACAGAGAACCAACCGCACACTAATGAGTGAGTGACCTTACGTTCAGGTGAAGGTCATTCCAACATATTCATCTGTCTGAATGCGAGGTAACACGTAAAGTCCACCAAGGAAGCATACACATAAAATCGATCCATTTGTCGTATTCCTAATTGTGTTCGACTGTTATTATTTTCTGTTCAAACATAACCCATACTGTGTGAGTGACTGCTTCGCACTACGCGGCGGGCAGGTGCGTCGTTGGTAGCGAATATGCACACTCACATGCCTATTATGACGCTGTTTTTTTCACAGGGTAACTTTGAAAGTATTCCGCGTTGCCGTGTTTGATAATCTGACAAACTGTGTACCATCAAAAACCTCTGAGAAGGGAGAGTAATTTACACGACGAGTGAAGCTTCCACCTGAGAAGCGGCCGCGACGCGAATTCCGCACTTGCGGGACAAGCGGTGCTACATTCTAAGCGTGGATTAACCGCTCGTAACCGAACAGTAAAGTGCTCATGCTAGCCGGGAGAATGCGGGGTCGAAACTTCCTGGAGTTTCATCACGTGAGCACCGCTGATAACTCGACCACAAGTGGTCTGATCTTACGTGCGTTAGTTAATACCTGAGAGCTGTTCAATACTTGCAGCTACGGATATGAGACACAAGTATGGCTGAGAACTGCCGGACTGAATTCTTTGAAATCACAAGGCTCCAGAAGTTGATTCATTCGCTTGCCACATAAGGATCGCGAAATCTGCGCTTGTCTTGAACCGGCACACTAAACCAACGACGCATCTAAAGTGGGGATTGTAGGAAGAAAACTGTCACACAGAAAGAGGAAAATTAGACTCACACGTCCCGATACAATTCAGGAGGTAGCAGACTGCTGAGATAAACGATTTGTGAGTTGATGTAGTCTCGGCGCTTCCGTTCGACTGAACAAAGGGAAGGGAAGACATAGAAGGATTGATAGTACAAAGCAACTACAAAAACTCAACTATGGAAAAGCACGACCAAATTAGGAATATTCTACTGAAAGCATGCAAGGTAGCGATCAAAAGCGTCGATAACAATTTGGCGACGGAAGAAACCAAACATACGCTGTATCAAAACTCGGTCGCTCATCGAGTCGCTGTAGAGTACCGTTTTCGACACTTACTGATATCCTCGAGTTAAAGATGGCTGGTAATTCAGCTCTTTAGTCCATGAACTGTGCCAAGTTTCTGATTTGGACGCAATGGCCCATGTGCCAGCGGTTGGTGACCAGCATACATGTTCGCCACAGTATGTAATCACGATTTAGTCACGTGTGGGGAAGTGTACCGTATTCAGTCGAGATTGAACGATAAATTGCAGTACACACTCAAGAAAGATGCTCGGTTAAAAATAACATTTCGTTGCGCGTGCAATATGAAGAAGCGTTCCACACCTAGAAACCATTTCGATATCCCCGGAAGGTGTTCTCATTGACAGTGAATGCCATATCAGCTCATGAATTGTGAACTAGTGGGTGGTGTTTGGTGTAATCCGCACTACCCGGCGGTGCCGCATGCAGGGCTTGTGGAAATACTCATGAAAAAAACCTTTCGGGCAAGAAAACAACATGACTTATGCCATTCATACATATATTCATATACGGAAAGGCTGGGTTGAAATTCTGCTCGTTCGCGTCAGCAACATACTTCTGCTTCCTTCTGTACTAGTTGACTTGATATTGCATTGACAACTCATGTCAATTCTTGCCGTGGCATTCTTTCACCTCATTGTTGTCATATACAAATCGACGGCCTGAGATGCATTCAGATCGCTGGAGTGTAGACATAAGCAATCGAAGGACTGCGGGCTAAAAACCTTTAATTAGAAGCTGATGGCTTCATCCTGAGGCTCCCATCGGTAGCTGAAAGTATACCAGTTCCGACGATACACCACTTTTTTCCAACAGTATCCAGGACATCTCACCCCATATTCACAAAGTACATTGGAAACACTATTGCTACTCAAATGTGTTTGAGATAAAACTCAAGTTCGGAAAGAACCTGCGGTTCAACAGTATGGAAAATAAGCAAGCATGAGGCTCCCTACTTCGATTATGGCTTTCTTTCTTGGATCGCTGTTTGAAGTTCATCGACTTTGGGACATCATCATATGGTTGATTGGAAAGATTGCCGGTAGACAGCTGTTGAGGCACTGAGGAACTGGCAGCAGAAGAACCGCCACCGTTGGGGGTAAATGTGAAGCCCTGATGAGCCGGAGTAGATGACTGTGAATTGGATGAGCCGGCCGAAGGAGCATAGGTCGGAATCGGAGTAGCGATGGTGAGGGGGTTGGCACCTGAAAGACCCATCTCCATACGGAGCGGTTGGAGATCCTGCGCCGTAGGACTTGATACGCTTGCACGCAGACGTCCCGAAGCAGCTATGGCGGCAGAAACATTGGCATAGCTGAGCGGGTTGAATTGAGAATCGGCCTTTTCGTGTGATGGAATGGCGATTCCGGCGCCGGACGATGGTGAAAGGTTTGGAAAATCGGTTCCGTATGTGCCTGAGATAGAAGAACCTGAGACGAGCGGGAAAAGGTGGCCCCCAGCACTATGGAGGGATGAGGCCTGTGAATGTGGATGTACAATTGTCGCACCACCGAATGGCTGCCATGCGAACAGCGATTGTGAAGTCAAGCCACTAGCTGATCGTCCTATTGAAGCACTGGAACTGCTCTCCAGCGAAGGCAAGCGTTGGTTATATTCAAACTGTGGACAGGAGAGAGCAATCGTCCACCGAATGGCTGCCATGCGAACAGCGATTGTGAAGTCAAGCCACTAGCTGATCGTCCTATTGAAGCACTGGAACTGCTCTCCAGCGAAGGCAAGCGTTGGTTATATTCAAACTGTGGACAGGAGAAAGAGAGCAATCGTCAGAATTGCATAGGAAACGAACATCATATCACAATGGAGGGTGAATGGGTCACAGACGGCGTAACCATTCGGCCAAAGAAGGCTACGGGGCTGTCCAGCTGTGCGGTGAATACACATAAATCGTTCAGCTGTAGCACCCTTTCGGCGCCTAGCTGCCATGCCACACGAAGAAGGCAGGTTGGCCAAGCCTAGACAGGGGAAGTCGAGAGGCAGAGGTCACGTTCGAACCACGGACCTTTCGGTCAGTAAATTCGCGTTCTAACCACTTGGGCCATCTCGCCCCGGGGTTCATCATATTATCCATGAAAACCATTCACCAACAAATACAACTACGGACATATGACGATTGTTCATCATACCGGGAAACAGAAAAATGTCTGTATTTCTGGCTGTTGGTGAATGGTTTTTATGGATAATTTACAGATTTTTTGAAAATTTCCCTTCTCATGGACTTTATAACGAGGTTGGAAACTCTCTGCATAGCGAAAAATTTCGAGTAACTCATTGGTCACATCGTACAAAACGGAATTTATCGTAACTGGTTTTGAAACTCTGATGCCACGGTGAGATAAGGCGGCTACCAACTACTTCAAATGTAGTTCGGTTACTTGAGTCGATTTTTTCTGGAAACAGGGGTTAACTATAATTTATGAATATCTTTTAACTCTTGAACTTGAGACGGCTCACTGCTTAAGGCACCAGCTTACTGACCACAGCGTTCGTGGTTCGAACCCAACCTCAGCAGGCTTGGGTAGTACCTCAGCTTTCTGGTTCCTTCTGGCGGCATGGTATCTAAACAACAAAAGGGTGTTACAGTCGAACGATTCACCTGTTTTTTGTACAAAACAGAAATCGGACGTAAGGCGTGAACAACTCACACTTCATAAAGTCTCGTTGGGCGAAGGTTTACGCGACAAGAAAAGTATCCGAAGCATGCTTTTTAGTAAAACTTTCACCACAACATCTTAGTCTGCCGTCCAACATACACACGAACGCATTTTTCGGACCGGAGCTGCCAAATGAATGTCTTGATATTTTATCCTAATAGTTCCTAATGTGATTTATAAGCGGACTGACGGATCTAAGTGCGAACAGAAAACCAGACACTTGTGACCCCATGTGACCACAGACTTCTGTCTGTGTGATTGTTAACGAATGAAATCAAACTGGTTCGCAGTACGAATCTGTAACCTCTGGAATAGTAAGCACAGCGACCCAGTGATTATCATGCCACGAATGGTGCAAATCATCGGGACCATCTGAATCCTTTCCACCCGTAAACATACTGTTATTTTAGCGGTCTTGTCTGATTGAATACTACCCAACCATCCATGTACGTGAACTATTTCTGCTACTTTCAATATGAGGTCCTCCTGTGTCCCCTTTGCATTGCTGTTCTTCCAAAGCCTTTCAGTTCTACTGATGCATTAATCATCTACTTGCAAATCGCTGGCACCAGCCTCGATTGATCACGTTTTGATTTGAAGAACATCATAAACGAGAGATTCAGCTGAGTTCCAGGTGAGTCGCGCGTCAAAACCAAACTGGTATGCAGGTGATTGTATTAGTCGAAAGTTTCGAATTTCCGACGAACAGAAACCTTGTCCAGTAACGAACTTGAAGGTGGAACAAAACAGCGCATCTCTACGCATGTTTTGTCTTCAGAAGCCTGGTCACTTGGCGCGAAATTCACCATCCACTTCTCCTCACACGTGAAATTTTCCCCTGTGAACTCGACTGGCTGTGAACAGACACGTAGTAAGCTATGTTTCCTTCGCTTAAAGCACACATCTCAGCTCGTTAGGAATGAGCAATAAATTCGGTTGATGCTTTCTCAGTATTCCGCACACACTACACAACTTCCCGCGTATGCAGTTGACTCGTCCATGGTACACCCCGTATGTTTGTTGAAACCCACAGTGATGAAGAAGGTGTCCCGCTTCTCTTGATTACATGTATCCTGGATGCTTGCGTGTTTATGCGCCAAACTCAATATCGACCACACGCCAACCACACACCGTGTTGGAATCGACCGTAGTGGTATGCCTACCGCGCTAGCGATAAAAGTGCAGGGAGCAGCATTATATATATATATATATATATATATATATATA